TTTTTTTTTTTTTTTTAAAGAGCTGGGATGCTGGGGCCAGGCAGCCATTGACAAGGCTGGGAAAGTGGTTGGGGGATACTCGGGGGCTGGGGGACCAGGCAGGGGATGGGGCCTGGAGGGGGTCCCCCCATGGTTCCCACCCCCCTTACCGGCATGGAGCCCAGGCCCAGCTCCCTGCGGCAGTAAGCAGGGACTGCCCAAATTGCCGAAACTCCAAATCTTTTCCAAATAGATTCGGAGGCTTCAAATCAATTCAGATCTTTTTATTGGTCTCCTGATTTGATTCGGAGAATCAGCTGCCAAATGGGGCCAAATCTCCTCCAAATCAAATCAGCACCCATAGCTTCACACAGCCCTAATGTCTACACAAGATGCTACTGCACATTTATTTAGGACTTGTATTAGCAAGTCCTAAATAAATACACAGTAACTGGAGCTACTGCGCAGTAGTGCCAGCGAACATCTTTTAAGTGACGCAACTGCGCAGTAGCCTAATAATGCTGCACAGTAGCGTATTAGCACCATCCATACTGTGACATGCTACTGCGCAGTATTATTAGGCTACTGCGCAGTCAGTGTCTTGTGTAGACGCACCCAGTATAAAGCAGTGGGTCATGAGCAGAGGGAATAAGCTGCAGTAGCAGGGGTTGGGCAACCAGTGCATTAGCCCCAAATGCTGATGTGGATGGGGTGCAAGAAAACAGCTACTGCCCCTCTGGGTACAGACATTGCTCCTTAGGCTTCTGAGCTTCTGCCAATTTGTCTGCTATTCTATCCATACCTCATGGCAGTGGTTCTCAACCTTCTTAGAGCTGGGGCCCCCACCCTACTTTTTTCACTTTGGCAGCACCCCAGTTGAGAGCTACTGTTGTGCTGCCTCAGCTAACTTGAATGGCTCTTAACTGGGGTGTTGCCACCACAAAAAGCTACCCCATGCACCTCTTTCATTGCCAGACTGGGAAGGGTTGCAGCATGCACATGCTGTTCTGACTTTCTAGCATTCCCTGTTAAGCCCAACACAGGCAGGAGAGCCAGCTCATTCTGCAGCCCTTCCTACCTGGACCCTGCACAGTGTCTCCCAGAAAGAGGTACACAGTGCAGGTAACTGTCCTGTGCACCTCTGTTTATGTTTCTAACAGGAGCATTTGGGGACTGGATCAGGAAGGTCTGTGGCACAAAATGGTTCTCATGCCTGCTTTAAGTTTAATCAGATAACCCTAAAGAGGCAGGAAAGTGCATGTATTTCACAGCTCTTCCTAGTCTGGCTGCCCACTATGTGCCCAGGGAACGTTTATCTGGTCGTGGCAGTGGCACCCACACTGCAGCATCCCAGAGGGGGGTCCTGTAGCACCCTGGTTGAGATCCACTGCTGTTTTGCTGTTGGCCTAACCTTCTTTAGATTCAACATGTTTGTACCATCCTTTCCTAGTTCCTTAGGCAGAAGCATTTTTCCATAGAATAATGGAAGAATAGGCAATAGATTCACAAGAAAATATATTTCTTGCTACTTCTCTAATTATTTCTGTGATGTGGTAACATTAGTCTACACATCCAGCTGGACAATTAGATTCAGGCAAAGTGACTCTGAAACTAGTGGAGTGCCAACTCCCTAGAGTTTTCGTCTAGCTCTAGAGGATTTCACCTGGGGAAAGTTATACAACAGGAGGAAGAGGAACTAGAGGTTGAAAACAATCCTGTGCCTGAATTGGCCTGCCCCATTCATCCATGCCTAAGTCATCACAGCATGGCATATATTAGTGAAATCAGGGTTGGTTTTTTTTGGGTTCCTTTTTAAGAGGAAAAAATCCCTTCCCACCTGTTCAAAGGGTATCAGCTGTTCCTTGAGATGGTCCAGTTTCAGTAGCAGTTCTCTCTCCCTCTTTATCTGATGGTCTTCTAAATGCAGGGCTGTGAACAGTCTCTGAACCAAGGATTTGACATCTTCCATTTCAGTAGCATGCTCGCTACTTAACTTATCTGAGAAAAGACCATGTTTGTTCTGACTGATAAAATGTATCAAACAAACTCCTTCAAGGAAAAGTAAGTATTGCTTGTATATGGCCACAAAATGAAAATTCACTGTTTTTTCTTGAAGTATTCAAAAGGGGGAATTAACAGACCTATTTTCTGTAGGGACTGATATAATGACAAACATGAAAAACTGGTGCCTCCCAAGGCTGTCAGCAGCAGAGGGCACATGCCCTCCCTACACATCACCCATGATAATAAAACTAAACAAAACAAATATGCTTTTGAACAGATGCAGCTGGATAGTCACACATTTCAAGACAGCTGTGGCTCTTACCTTTTATAGGGACTCTTACACTGTATGTCATATCATTGATGACCAATTTAAAATCATTCATCAATAACATTTCCACCAGTGTTTTAGTAGAAATCTTGCTACCATCTAGAAGAGAAAAGAGAAAGAATCAAAAGACCACTAGCCTCAATGTTAGCAGTTTCTAAAAGTAAGACCAGATGAAAAATTATCTTTAGATAATTACATTCAGTTTGGAAGTGGACAAATGTGTAGCTCCAATAAAAAGGTGCTGTTAATAAACGTGTGTTAAAATGTTAGATAAAGCATCATCTGAAACATTTAATATAAACTCTGAACTTGTTTGAAATACCTGACACAACTCAGCACATTGTTTATAGGCAGTTTCCTTTTTGTTTCCATTTTAAGAAAGAACGCAGCCAAGATAAAACGCACAGTTTAAAAGTGTTTTTACTTGTGTCATTAAGACTTTAAAAATTCTTCATTTTATTTCTGGACACCAAATCTCTACTTTTTTTACATTTATTTGCGTCTTGTATTTTGTACAGCTTGGAAAAATTAAACCATTTAGGTCACATTCACTTTCCAAAGGAAGAACGTTCTAATGAATATAGCCCAAGACTCCATGTGTCAGGAGATCAGGCACCACAAAACTAACTGCAAGGTGCAAACATGTTAGTCAGTCTCTGTCAATTGGAGATGCTGCCAATTAGCCTCCTCTGAGGAGTGTATTAATGTTTGGATGGAGAATGCTACAAAAAGAAAACTAAACGTCCTAGAAATTCTGCAAAAGTTGTCATTTATTATTGACAGATTAAGAAAAAACACAAAACTTCCAACATTATTTAAAGGACAGACACATTCACTAGCAACCTATGAATGAAATAAATATGGAGTTTGTTTCAATTTGTTTTGGAGATCCCTACTCATGCAAGTACCTGTTTTAGCCTCAAAGAGAACCTGCATTCAAGCAAGGCTTACAAGAGACTACTTGCTTCTGAGGGATTTAGTGGAAGGGGTAGGAAATAAATTAGGCTTATTATGTGAAGGTAGTTGCAATCTAAATCATGATGTCCCTGTTTAACAGATTTCTATTTTCTTTTGTAATCATGTATTATTTCAAAACAGAGTTTCAACCATTAGGGAAGAAAAAATACCTCTCTTCTATTTCAAGTGTTGACTATTCTGTCAACAGTCTCTTCAGAATAGTTACAGAAGCCCAGCATTTTCACTCCTGTTCACTCAAATCTTGTAAACTATTTCTGAAGTAATTGCAAGATTGCTAAAATAACTTAGCAGAAATTTCATGAGCTATCTCACTACCATACTCAGTGGTAGAGGAATCCTAGGAGAACTATTGCTCCATAGGCAGATCCAGGATTTTAAACAGGAACAGAAACCAATGCTGCAGAAGTGGCTGAACAGACTCCCCCACACACTAGGTGAGGAAGACTACACTGCAGGAGCAGGACAGTGGGACTGATTTGCTGCCCTGACCCCTTAGGTGGCAACCTATAAGTATATAAGCTGTGTGCATCAGGAATTGGGAGAACATCTGTTCATCAGGGCACCAAGGGAAGACAAGGTCTAATGGTCACAAACTGCTGGAAGACCATTTTGGACTGGACATTAGGAAAAACCTCTTTACCACCTGAGTCTCCAGAGTCTGGAATAGACTCCACCTGGAAGTGGTGCAAGCACCTACTTTGGGTACCATCAAGAAACACTTGGATGCTTATCTTGCTGGGGTGATCTGACCCCAGCTGACTTCCTGCCCTTTGGGCGGGGGACTAGACCTGATGATCTTGTGAGGTCTCTTCTAGCCCTAATGTTTATGAAATCTAAGAAGCCAAAGACTTTTTTAAGCCCCACCCCCAAATCAGGTAAGTCTCGCCCCGCTTCTCCCCCTCGCTCAATGCCTCTGGGCTCAGGAAGAAGAGACATACCTGCCACCACCAACACTATCTCCTGCCATGCTCCAACCTGGTCTTTGGGCAGAGGCTGCATGGAGAGCCAGGCTTGGCTGTGAACAGTGGAGGTGGTGAGCTGGTTTCCGACCTGCCCCTTTTCCTGGGCTGGTGGGGAACACCTGAGGGGGACCAGGCAGAGAGGGGAAAGCAGCCTTCCACTGCTGCTGTCCTGGCTGGACAGTTCTGGAGCTCCGTCCACCCCGGGTTAGCTGGGGTCAGTGGCAGCAGCAGACTGGGTGTGTGCATGTCAGGGGGGAAATAGGGAGGGAAGGAGATGTACCGTTGAGCCCAGAGGGGAAGGGAAACAGTGCTGCGGGGAGAGGGATTCTTGTTTGGGGACTAAATAACAGTCTCTGGCCACTGCTCCCATAATGTGGGCCAAATGGGGATGCATCTTGCACCTCCCTACATCCCATGCCAATACACCCACTCTGGATCTGCCCCTTTGTTACCCTCATGAGGTCAACTACGTACAAACCAGTGTTGGAAGACCAATCTGTCCCAGTTTTAACAGAGCCAACAACAATCCAAAAACCCTGATACAAATTTTGAGGGGCTTGGATTGGAGGGTTTGGTTTTGTTTTGCTTGGTTTTTTGAGGGGGTTGTTTTTAAAGAGCCCCTCAATGTTGTGTCTGTTACGTGTATTTCTATCTATTTGCCTCCATAACCCCACGATTCTAAATCAATCTCATCCCTGTCTTGCATTACAGACTTGTGGAAACAAATGCCCAATTTCAGAGTGCTTCAGGCACCATTGCCCTTGGCTGTGCAAACACAACCTTTTTATTTAGCAAAGTACTTTGTTGAAGTAGGGATGGATACTTCAAATAACTATAATATGTATTAGTGAATAGGAACGAGTATTTGGAGAAGTACCATACTTACTCAACTAAAATAATGTTTCCCTCCACATTTTACTTGGGGAAAAAAAAAACCCTCATCTTAGAATCGTGTGCAACGGTGGTGGTGGGGTGGCGGCTGCTGTGGCTTGGGGTTCAGTCCTGGCTTGGGGTTGGAGCCATGGCTGCAGCTGCCTGTCTCCCCAACCCCTCCATTGCCTCTCCACCCCACCACTTCCACCCCCACATGCAGCCTCTGCCCTCCCCCACCTGCCCCTCTCCCCCTTACGCTTGCTCTATATTGGCAGGCTCCCATCCATGCTGCAGCCTGGGGCACTGAGTATGGCCCCAGCCTGGCCCTGCAGCAGCAGCACACAGCCCACACTGCTGCTACAAACACTGGGCTGGGGTGGGGCAGTGCTCAGTGCCCCAGACTAGAATGGGAACAGCCTGCCAGCACAGAGCAGGGGTAAAGGGAGGGGAAATGGGAGCAGGAGTGGGGGGGCAGGGAATGGAAAAGAGGGGAAAGCAGAAGCTGGGGTGAGGAAGGGGAAAGGAGAGGCGGGGGGAGGAGCAGGAAGGGGAGTAGAGGGGGAAGGGGGCTCAAGGCTGCGGAGGGGCAGACGCAAGGAGGGGGGCAAACTGCTTGACTTTTCCACACTGCCTACCCTGAAGCAGTGTGGGGGATGAATTGAAGACCCCACAAGAATTGATTCTATACATGTATACTTTTATAAATGTTCCATTTTTCCATGTATAGAATCTAATCATTGGGGGTCATCTTAACTTCAGGGTAATTTTAAATTCAAGTAAATACGATAAGTTATATTCTCACTTGATGCTTGACCTTGGCCTCTGTTTCCCTAGTTAAATTGACACTGATCTCTGTAAAGCTCTTTGAAGCCCTTGTTTGAGGGGTGGTATGCAAGTGGAAAATAGAAGTATTATTCCAGATTATGCATTATGAATGGTTTGTATATAAATATTTGTTGCTGTGGGGTTGCCCAAGACCTTCCATCTGTCTCTATGTGCCTACTATAGACACACACCTGGAGTTCTTCACTGGAATTTTGACACTTGGACACATTTGGCAATATCTGCTGAGATATAACGGCTTGAACAGGGGAGGCTAACACACCAGCTGGCTCTTCTACCCACTCTATGTGGGTAGGCTGGCAGACTTGGAACATCGACATATTAAACCAAAAATTCAAAACATATATCCTCTCTTTTTTCAACACTTTACAAATGTCACCTTTATAATTTACATTGAAATGAGCGTCAGCATTCTTATTAAAATTATGTTGAACAAAAAAGAAAAGCACTTGTCTGAAAGTGTCACACAGTGCCACATTTGATTCAGTACTGTCCATTCTAGTATTCATGAACTGATGGAAAACAGAAAAGTATTTTTAGGTCTTCCAAGAATAATTCTCTCTAAAAGGCTATTTTCCTTCCTGCTTAGCATTATGAAGGTGAAGAGATGAACAAAAAGCCTTTCTTTGTCTAATTCCATGCAGTGCTAGAATAAGAATGATAGAAAATTAAAATAAACTATCCAATCTGTAATGTTTCCAGTTCAAGTTAGCTTTAAAGTACAGTGCTAAGATAGGTCCTCATTTTATCTAGAAGCTAAATAAAACAGAAGGAAGGAATATTCATACTTAAATCAAATTTTCTTAAGATCTTCATATCCTTTTAAATTATATAAATTTGGCCTGTGACAAGACCCATCATTACCATATTAACTTTCTGTTTATATATATTCAAAGTTATTCTCTATTGTTACCTTCAAATGCCAAATAATTGTATGAAGAGGAGAAAATTAGCTATAGCAAGGTCACTGTTAATTCAAACACAGATTTTGGTTCTAGGCCAAGAGCATTATCAGATGAGGCACTCCCCCCATTGATGAAATTAAATTTATTTCCTTTACAACTACAACAGACAGTCCTGCTAGCCTTGTACATATGTGTCTAATAATATTTTGGACTAAATCCACATAATGAACAATGAAGCAAACCCTGATGCTAAGATTACTGGGGGTCTTAATTTTCATTTTAATTTACATAGAAATGAACATCAGCATCCTTATTCATACTTTTGCAACTGACACAACAGATGCATTCTGCCTGACAGGAGAGAATTCTGCAGACACCTGCGAGTGCAGATACTCTCTTGGTCTACAGGACTGTGAATGAAGATACCTGTGTTCATAAAAGTAACTGTCTGCAGGGAGTTTGCTGCTTGTAAAGGTGGGGAACAGCCTATATCATCCTGTTACTGCATGAAATTTAGGTGAATGCTTGCACGTTTGTCATCTGTCCCCAATCCTTACGGGATGCCCACAGGGCATATGAAGTCTTGAACAAGTTTTCTTTTGTAGTGCCGGTATTTCATCTATGTGCATAAAAGGATTGACCTGATGAAGGGAATAGTCTATCTACATGCTTCATAGTTTCAGAGAATAAAAGTAGTAAAGAAAAATAAATGTTTAAAGAGTCTACTTTGTAGTTCAAATATGATTTGCTTTTTTTTTTTTAAATCTGGACAGAAAAAATATAATTGTAAGCAAGAAACTTAGATAAGTAGTAACATACTACATTAGAGATAACTGTTTCTGCATTAGAAACAGGCCACAGTACTGACAGGGTAGTCGTGATCTAAATCTCTAATTTCAGATTATAAAATCTTTCCCTCACAAAAGGATAAAAGCTTCTATGTGACTTTAAATTTTAAGTCTCACTGAAGACAAAGAGATAGGCATTTTTAAAAAGCATACCCTTCTCAGTATAATGAAACTTTAGTGCTCCCACTTACAAAAGGAGAGGCCTAGGGCCTAGCACTAAAGGGGGTACAATATCCCAAGAGACTCAGATGGTTGGAAGCAAGACTTTTCAAGTTTCTAGTTGATGCTCTCAGAAGCACTCATAGGCAGCATTACTAATCACATACAGCGTAAGACTTGCTTTGTGAAGATCCTTTAAGACTGGTAGTTGGAGAAAAGAAAGAGGGAAATATACGGGGTACTAGAAGACAACACATTTATTAAATAGCACTATAAAAAAAAAAAAAGACAGCCGTCTTGGGAAAGGGAACAATTCAAGGAAAATACCAGATCTTAAGGAGGTTCAACTGTAATATCCAAATTCTCTGGAACGATAGAGGTGTTAAATTGCAAAATAGCATTTATCCATATTATTCTTATGCACTGAGTGTTAAGAACCATCCACCTTAAACCTTAGGGCCCTGGCATTTATCATGAGATAAGTTGTAACATGCCCACATTCAGCCAATTTATGGCATGATAAAATGGCAAGCCAGCCACAAAGATGCATTGTGCTTTAATCTGAACATGTGGTATGCAGCCCAGAATTGGCTTTCCTTACAGCAGGGATTTTTAAAGCTGTGCCATGCAACCTGCTGGTGGGCTGACAGGTCCAGGGCACAGGGAGCTAGATATCAAGAAGCTCCCCAATCCACAGCTCCCCACACCCCAGTAAATACACAGCCAGTTTCACACAGGCTAGGAATCCATGGAGCTTCCTGATCTACAGCTCCCCATGCCCCAGAACACAGCCAGCTGCTGGCATGCTTTTTAAATGTCTGGGCTGCCCACACTCCTGGATTTTGAGAAGGCACACCTGCAACCTGGCTGCAGTGTGCCTAAATATTTAAAAGCTGTACCTGTAGCCCAGCCTTATCAAGATCCAGGGGCACTGCTAGGCTTGGAGACCATGACAGGGCACCTGGAGCACCTATCATTTTAAGAGCAGAGGCTGCTGAAAAAGCAGCCTGCAGGTTGGCAAGGGGAATGATTAGGGAGTCAGTTGACCAGGGAGGCTGGGCTTGAGCTAGATAAGCTGAGGGCCTGAGCTGTTCAGTCAGTCTGCCCCTGAGTGCCACTGGGAGAGGAGCTCCTGGCAGCAGAGCTCCTGAGATCTCTGAGCTGGGGTAAACAGCTCTGAGCCCCGGGAGCTGGCCAGGCCTTGGAAGAGAGAGGCCTGGGAGCAGACGAGACAAGAGAAGGAGAGCTTGAGCCCAGGAAGGAGTAGGAACTTGGGGAGAACATCCTTTACCTGGAGGGGACCAGGAGGGTCCGGTGCCTAGGGCGGACTAGAGCATGAATATCCGGTGCCTGGGAGGAACACCAGGAGATTCCAGTGCTGTGTGGGGCGGGGAACAGGACTACAGCACAAAGGTCTGGTGCCTGGTGGGGGGTCCGATGCCTAGGGGCGAGTAAGCTGCATTGAGAGAAGCTCCAGTGCTGGGGCCTGCCAGAGTGGGGCCAAAGCGCCTGAACCCATTGAAGGGGCAGTATATCAGCAGGGCTAGAAAGCTCAGAGATCTGGAGACCAGGAGGCACAAGGACTGCGGCTGGGAGCCTATAACCCAGAGAGGCATAAGTTAGGAGATCACCTGCAAGGCATGGGAGTGGGTACTGGGGAGGATGGAGCCCATGAAACTACCCCTTAAGGCAATTACCACAAACTCCAATGGTCATCAGAGTAAGACCAGGCTTGTGAAGCCCTGGGGCAGCCACCTTTTTATCAGAAATTAATACAGTCAAAGCATAACAGGTGAGTAAAGGAGGGAGGGCCCCAAGGGACCACGACCTGAAGGGTCGGAGTTCAGGGTGAGTGGTTGTTCCTCAAGGGAGTGATCCTGCAAGCATATGCAATGTCCATCCCATCTCGGAGGAAAGGTAGCAAAAGGGCACAGCAGCCCCCTTGGCTCTGCAGGGAACTTGTGGACCTCCTGTGTCTAAAATAAAGACCTGTAAAGGATGGAAGACTGGAATCGCCTCAAAGGAGGAGTATTCTGCACTGGTCCAGACCTGTAAGGAGCAAACCAGGAATGCCAAGACTACGACTGAACTCCAACTGGCTACACGTATCAAAAGACAATAAAACATCCTTTTTCAGATATGTGGGGAGCTGGCAGAAAAGCAAGGGTAACACTGGACCCCTGCTGAACCAAATGGGACAACTGACACTGACCCAGAAAAAAGCCAACCTGCTTAATGGGTATTTTGCATCGGCTTTTCACCAGCCCCAAGGGACTGCCCTGCTCAATATGGTATGGGACGGCCAGGGTGAGGGAGAATTGTTACCCTACATTAATGTAGACCATGTGTAGGAACACCGTGAGAGGCTGGACACCTTCAAGTCAGCTGGCCCCGACAGTTTACACCGCAGGATACTTAAGAAGCTGGCAGGCATCATAGCTCAGCTCCTGGCACGGATCTTTGAGAACTCCTAGCGCTCAGGTGATGTGCCTGAAGATTGGAAGAAGGCCAATGTGGTGCCTATCTTCAAGAAAGTGAGGAAAGTAGATCCGGACAACTATAGGCTCAGCAGCCTGACCTCTATCCTGGGGAAAATCTTGGAAAAAATTATCAAAGAGACCATTCTTAACAAGCTGGCTGATGGCAATATCCTAAGGGATAGCCAGAATGGGTTTACTGCAGGTAGGTTTTGCCTGACCAATCTCATCTTCTTCTATGACCAGGTGGTATATCACCTGGACAAGGGAGAAGTGATTGACGTCATATATCTTGACTTTAAAAAAGCCTTCGATCTGGTGTTCCATGATCTCCTCATGAAAGAATTGGCCCACTGCGGCCTCGGCTACATCATAGTCCAATGGCTGGGAAATTGGCTCCAAGGTCGGACCCAGAGAGTAGTAATAGACAGAAGTAAGTCATTGTGGTGCGCCATGACCAGTGGGGTCCCTCAAGGCTCCGTCCTTTGGCCTATACTCTTCACCAACTTTATTAATGATGTAGACACTGGTATCAGAAACGGACCGGCCAAGTTCACCAATGACACTAAACTTTGGGGTAAAGCATTCACACCTGAGGATAGGCTCGTGATCCAGGCCAACCTCAACAGGCTCAGAAAATGGGTGGATGAAAATCTGATGACATTCAACACCAAAAAATGCAAGTTACTCCACCTTGAGAAAAAAAACACAGCACGCTTATAGGCTTGGCAGTGCTACACTTGCTAACACCACAGCTGAAAGGGACTTGAAGGTCATGATTGACCACAAGATGAATATGAGCTATCAATGCGAAGTTGCAGCTGGTAAAGCAAGCAAAACTCTGTCTTGTATCCATAGATGCTTCTTGAGCAAATCCCAGGATGTCATCCTCCTGCTGTACTTGGCCTTGGTGAGGCCGCAGCTGGAGCACTGCATCCAATTCTAGGCTCCACAATTTAAAAAGAATGTGGAGAAGCTTGAGAGAGTCCAAAGGAGGGCCACACATGATCAGAGAGCACGAGAACAGGCCTTATGAAGAGAGGCTGAGAGCCATGGGACTCTTCAGCCTTGAAAAGCACAGGCTCAGGGGGGACCTGGTGGCTGCCTATAAGTATATAAGGGGTGTACATCAGGATCTGGGGGAATGCTTGTTCACCAGTGCCCCAAGGAATGACAAGGTCAAAGGTCACAAACTCCTCCAAGACCATTTCCAGCTGGACATAAGGAAAAACTTCTTTACTGTCCGAGCCCCAAAGGCCTGGAATAGACTGCCTCCAGAGGTGGTGCAAGTACCTTCTCTGGACTCTTTTAAGAAACATTTGGATGTTTATCTTGCTGGGATCCTTTGACTTCCTGCCCCTGGGGCAAGGGGCTGGACTTGATGATCTTCTGAGGTCCCTTCCAGCCCTAATGTCTATGAAATCTATCTATGAGAGCCAGAAGTAGCCACCAGCCACCCTGGGACAGGCACTTGTTATAGACCTGTCCCTGAACCTAGGCTCTCCGGATGCCCAGACAGTTAACAGCAATGCCTGCAGCTAGGTGCAAGCATACAAGGGCACAGGCAGCTGGGGATTAAGGAGCTCTTTACTCAAAAAGAAAGAGCTAACCTTAGTTTCTTATAAACAGACCACAATGTTAATACAATATTAATAAATACCATTTGTAAAGATTTCTGCCTTCTCGATTCCTTTATCTTCTTTCTGTATGTCCTGCAGGAAGGTCCCCACGGTTGTTAACATTGGCTTGACAGTAAACTGGCAGCGCTCTTTTCTTGAGGGTAACATAACAGTTATCACAGGAAGACCATGTCTGTAATTAATAGTTACTTCTGAAAAAGAGGGGAAAAAAGTCATATTTGTTAAATGCAATTTAAACTCATACTTCCTTTCATAAGAAGCCAAATATGGAAATGCATACAGTAAGTCTTAAATTTGTTTACTGTACAAGACTTAACTAAAGCGTAATACTTTTACAGGCCCCAAAAGAAAAAGTGACTTGTTCAAAATCACCTGAAAAGTCAGTGGCAGAGGTAGATGTCGTGATCCCCAGTTTTGTGCTGTAAAACTAAGTGCTTGCTGAAACAAAGATACATACATCTATGCAACAGGAATAACACACATTCCCCACTTCTATTATTAGCTGTTATTTTCAGAAGGCTGAGACTGAAAGGTGAGCTGATTTGAAAAAAGATAACTGATGAGATAACTTACCATCAGATGGCACCAGTGTGCTATAACACACTCTTTTATAATGCCTCAGATTTCCTATTTGCTTCTGGCACTGCATCTGCAAAAAAGATTTTTTTTGAGACAGAGTGTACACAGTTGGAATAAAACACTACCTTGGTAAAAAGCAGTCCCCAGCCATCACTCATCTACGTGGTAATATTCCGTGTCGACTGGCAGAATACAGGTATTCCTGAAAAAGCATCTCCCTATAAACAAAAAGCTGCAGCGATTCTGATTACCAAGCAGAATCTCTACTATTCTAGACAAAATTATTAATGAGTATTAATAAACTGTTCGCTACAGCTAAGTAATTCTGCTGTTTCATCCAGAATGATATAAATATCTTAAGATGACAGATGTGGTTATATTTTAATTTTAAGCAAATGTCTTTTGTTATGCCTCAATTGTAATGTAAACCTGCCTTCTTCAAAAAGGAACTTGAAATGTTGCTCCATTATGCTGCTTTAGAGTAGAAGGCAGTTATCACCACTCACTACATACACGATTCTTTCGAGTTGATAATGCAATGTAATAAAAACGTGCATGTTCTGAATGAAAAATAGCAACACTTTCAAAGCATTACATAGTATACCACTATATGCAAAAGTGCAAGGAGCTGTGATTCAGCACCATTACATTAAAAATGTATTAGTGCTGTTCACAATATTTAAAAAAAATTAACCACACAGCTTGAGAAAAACAACAGCTTTTATTTGTTATCTAGACTTACTGTTTGAACAATAGTGCAATTCTGCTAGTGCAACCAAAAATATAAAATTGCTACCATTTAATACCCCACTGTAAAAGATACAACAACTTGGTTAATGTTACCTTCTGCAGTGAACGCACAGAATAATTACTGGGATTATTACTCTGTAATCTCTAAAGAGCTCTTGCAGTACCAGAAGAACCCACAGCTAAGGGTTGACAATGCACAAAAGATATACTGCTTTAATTATTCCAGTGTAATTGAGGCAGCAAAATCATACTAGTGGGAATGCAGTTACACTGGTATAAACATGTTTTATACTGGCATGGTATTTCTTGCAGGGAAAACAGCTAAGAGAGACCTGATAGACAAGACTGAAGTGGAAGCTTGAGAGCTGAATGCTCAGGGAAAAGGAAAATAATCTAGGATCAATTTACCAAAAAGATTGGCAGCTGGTGATTCAATCACATTCTTGTACTTAATATACAGAAACTGAAGCTTTTTGATACACATCACAGAACTTTTACTATCCAAAGTAGGAAGTTTACCAAAAGTAAATCTATAAAATGCAGTACATTTCATTTACAGAGATTAATTCTCAGTTGAACATCCTACTCCAAACAATACTTCCAGAACTAAGTTTTTTGAGGTTGAAAAATTTGTGATCCTACCTGTGACAATAGAGTCTACAGAAGAAAGGAGGGGACCCTACAGTAAATACAAAAATATTTTTTAAAAATTGTTTAAAAAAAAAACAACAACAAAAAAAACAAACAAAAAAACCTGGCCAACAGAAGTCTATTAATGCTGAACGCTAGCGAGAGCTTCAGTGCAACAACATGGAATGAACGCCTAGCCATCTGTTCTGAAAGCATATATTCCTTCCACTTGCACTCCATTAGCAAAGTACAACCTCTGACACAGGGCAGCTGTTTTGGTTCGAACCATCTGCAGACAATACATGTACACAATGTGAATATGGGCCATCACTGTTGGGGAAAAAAAAAAAAATTAAAAAAAATAAAAACAATTCCAACCCCTTTTGCTGGAAGGCATTTAAAAACAGAGGACAGATAATAGCCTAAAACAAATTCTCAGTGGTCTGGCATATAATATTCACAACATATCAGTGATGTCCACTTGGGGGACTACTGAGGAATACCTCTTTTTACTGGCATTTGATATACAATTATGCTTGCTGTGATCAATATCCAATTATCTGTGATTACCTTTTCCTGGATATTGTATTGTATATGAGCAGGTGCTACTATTTTTCTCACTGTTGCAAATTTTGGCATCAGCACTGTTTAGAGAAAGGATAGTACATATCTACTTTATAGCCGACTTCTTTGGAAGGAGTTTTTCTTTGATGGCTTGTTTGGGGGTTTTTGGTTAGGTTTTTTTTTACTTTTTGTGTATTGTTTGAACCCCAATAGGAAAATCTCTGTATATTTTATTTATAAATATTTTGAATGTGTCAATAAATTACCATTCAAGTGAAACAAAAGGAACTGCTTTACAATACATGTTTTATACAGTTTCTTTTTCTGCAGAGACTTCTAGTGCTTGCTTCCTGCCCCAAATTAAAACAAACAAACCTCAATGCGTACACTGATCATTTCATTATCTCCCACACAAAACAACCTGTTTAAAACCAAATACATACATAGTAATAACATGGGCACTGAAGTATGGGACCTGAGGGTTCCGATAAAGTAAGTCAAGGTCCCACTAAGGCAAAAGGCCCACCTACTTCCAGCTGGGCCAATCCTGGGCAAGCCAGGAGAATAGGTCCAGATTGCCTCTTCACAGGATAGGGGCTAGAATTACAGGAAGCTGATAATGGAAAGCTCTCATGAGTCGTTAGGCCCTGCAGAAAGCCTAAGATGGGGGTTGTCAACTGGGGGTATGTGCATCTCTGGGGGTACTTGGGAGGGCCCTAGGGGGTACATGTGGGCAGGTGGGGACAGAACACCACCCCCACCACCCTGTGCCACTGCCTCCTAGAAACAGAGCCCGGGGTGGGGGAAGGGGGACACAGAGCAGCAGCACCCCTCTGTGGGCTGTATAGGCGCCTCCCAGCTAGCCAGATGAAGGGGGGGGAAGCTTGCATGCAATGGCCGCCACCACTTCCCAACACCCTGCGCTGCCGCCACGCTACTTTTTTTGTAAACATATCCCTACGTGCCACCGCCCCCCCCATGCTCCGTGTCCGGCTGCCAGGGGTACACCTACTAAAAAAGGTTGAAAACCCCTGGCCTAAGATAATGAGAAGAAGTGGAAAGAGGGACTCCCATTTCAGAAGGAGCCAGGAATAGAAGTGGTCCATGAGCTGTAACAGAATGTGGCCAGCATGGTGATGCACACAATCACATCCCCCACCCCTTCCCTATTCTGAACAATAGGAAAACACTTCCGATTGTCAGAGAAATGCTTGATGTACTCTGACAGATGGTCAGAGAAATGCAGATGGTTGTAGAGTACAACACACAAAAACACCGGGACATGCTCTGCAGCCGTAACACTAAATATAATTACTGGGACATTGTGGTCACAGAGCACTACATATAACACCAAGTAGGGAAATGGCTTGGACTTCATAGTTGCAGAGTCCGCTATATGACACCAGTGAGAGAGGACAATGACTAAAGGACATTACGAAAAAACCTGCTAAGTTTTAAGAGGACTATCTACTTCAGGTCCCACCACCACAGAAAAGCTAGTTAGAAGAGTGTAAACAAAACTATAATTTAGATCTACTTCATGGAGAGGGTCATTTGTAGTTTGCTGGAGAATCTGTTCTGTAACTACACTTGTTAGCAATTCGTACTTGGTTAGAATAATATATGCAAGATAGATTTGCTACCAATAATGAAAAAGATATTCTAGCAAAATCTGTTCCTACTGCTCCCCTGGTGGGTTGCTGGATCAGGTCCTGGTCGTGCCAGCCCTGCACAACTGAATCCGACCCATGGACTGACTTGACACTGCTCCCCCACTGGAAGACAGGCGGTCTACTAACAGTTTTAGCCCAGGTCATGTCAGCTGCACTACCAATAACTTGGGCAGCCTAAGGGAGACAGCCCAAGGAAAGGTCCCCTCAGGGAAGCACTGGGCTTCATATGGCAGACTTAACTGCTGTACACAAATGCCAGGAGCTTGGGAAACCAGCATGAGGAACTGGCTCTTCTCCTATATGACAATGACTACGACCTTGTAGGAATTACAGAGACCTGGTAGGACTCCACCTATAATTGGTCAGTGGCAGTAGAAGGTTACACTGTGTATAGGGAAGGGTGTGTGGGGAAGAGGGACGGGGGTGTTGCTCTCTATGTCAAAGATCAGCTCACCTCCCTGCAAACTGATTTTCCAAACCAGGAAGGACACCTTGAGACTCTGGGTCAAGATAGAAGGAGAACATGGGGACGGTGACTTACTTGTAGGAGTCTACTATAGACCCCCCCCCCCGCCCCCCAAGAGGATGACCTAGATCGGGAATTCATTAGGGAACTGGTCACACTCCTGATGCTTGATCGTCATGGGAGACTTCAACTTCCCAAACATCTCTTGGGATGATCGCATGGCCAAATCTGGTAAGTTGCGTAGTTTTCTCATGTGCATCGATGACCTCTACCTAATCCAGGAGGTCTATAGGCCGACTAGAGGAGAGGCATTGCTGG